ATATGCGTCCTTCTGAAATATGCAAATGACGTCATTACGCGGGAGCATGTAGAAATCAATGCTGAATACAGATATTGCAGTAATTAGTAAAAGGAATAGCTTATCATATGCTATCCATATGTGTATCGTCGATGCACCGCATGCTTCTTAAAAAAGCGGTACACACCTCGCATTTGGAACCGCAAAAGAGATGACATCCAACAGCCACGAAGTCAGTTAGTTTTTACGGCCGCTTACACATCGCAGTCGCGGAGGCAGCAGTGTCAGATAATGCCTCCAACGTCAGTACCTGAGCATCTGCTGAAGATAGCCTAAGTCTGTAGCAAAGTCCGTTGAGGCACTTGTCCCAGGTCATTCTATACTTTCAGAGAGCTTTCCATCATTCCTTTGAGCAAGTAGTAACAGTTCCGCCTTTCCATTTTGAAAGCATTCGCAAAACTTGTCCAAGTAGTCATAAACGTAATTTCTCCACCTGGAAAAGGAGCGACCTGTCTTTGAACTAAGGCTTTCTCGAATCTGTGAACCTCATACTATGCTCATCAGCCTGAGTTCAACGATTCGTCCCAAGGAGTACATTGCAGCAGCTTATATTCGGGATCACAGTCACTGCACACGACTCATGACCGTAAGTCAGAATTCGGATAAAATTGATTTGAACGCAGATACCTTCGTCTTCAGACCCAGTTCTGCTTCTGTCACAACGTTCCGGGATAATTCATGAAGGACAGTGCTGATATTCCTGATTCACCAGTCGATAACTTCTATTTTCCACCGCCAATAACGTGACCTGACCTCCAGGTGCTTGAACCTCTTACCTTGTTTATTTGCGGAACGCAGTGCGGAGAGGAGTAAGGAAACACCTTACATTTAACTGTGAATCTTTGCAGAGAGCTCCAGTGATGAGTCTCGGAAGAGACCAGCAAAGTCAGGTCGTCTGTAAACAATAACGTACTTATTTCGACATCTCCTACGCTAATATGTTGTCTTCCTGGCTGATCCTGATTGTCCCATCCATTGACAATGCAGACAGGATAGCTAACAGAACGCAATTTTGACGGAGACCAGTGCCAACATTGAAAGATTTCGATTTAACGCCATTCTCTCACGCTGCACCTGCTCTCAGCTAATAGTGATTTTTCATATTGCGGTTATGAGTTATTTTTGCGAGGCAGCGGTTTCTCTCATTTCTTACGCTTGAAATTAAATCCTATTTATTTAGATTTGTCTTTGAAGCTTGTGTACTGTTGCAAGTTATTTATGCTTGTTGTTGACCGTCTCCTTGATCTTATCATCGTATTATCATTGATAAATAGTTGGATGGCTATCATGCGCACAGATTTTGTGATGGTTGTAATCAAAGAGCGTTTTCCTTAAGGTTTACTCTTCGACATCAGCGAAAGTTACGATTTGTCGTTTTATATGGCTGGAGTAGCGATGACGATTTCCGCTCTGATTGGTTTCGTGCTCAAATCCATTAACAAGGAAGAAAAGAGGCGGAAGCGGAGAAAACTCACCTCGTACGAGGAAAACACTGTTTATAGATCCAGACTGTAAAACTTTTGGCAGGCCATGTTTGCAACTGCCTCAATTTCAAACTATGTGAAATAATTTTTAGACCAGATCCACTGGTCCTACATCATGTTCGCATGTTAAAATGCAATAAATTAATATTTAAACTAACCTT